TTAACTGCCCGTTTTGTTGGAACCCACCAGCAAAATGCAACTTCTAAAGGGTCCCTGACCTCGGATTGCTCAGCAGGCACTCCCAGGTACATGGGGGCGTGTCAGCATTGCAGGCATTCGGAGCTCTGTAGAACTGCCTCGGCCCGTGAGTCACTGATCAGCCACAATTATGCGACGCAAGCACCTCCTGAACTTTGAGCCACTGGTTGGCTTGCAGCTGCACATCCAAATGTAGAGCGCGGGCAGTGTCCAAGAGTATGATCAAAAGGGAGCTGTCCCAAGAAGCTGCTAACCTCTCACTTTGCAGGATGAAGACTTGGCCATCAAATTCACTTGGCAATCAATTCCCGGTTGCCCACTGTCACCCGTTGTTCCCTTTTTCGGGGAAGAGTTCCTTTAAGGTCAACCAATTAGAAAGGAGGGAGCCCTTTTCCCATTGCATGGCCGGAGCATCCATACGGAATGGAATGCTGAAGCCGTACGCTAGACATGAAGACAACGGGGCATGGTCTGAAATGACAGATGAGCAACTCACGGCGTCCGGCTTGGTGTACGTATCCTTTTCAAGCCAGGGAGAGAGAGAGAGAGAGAGAAAAAAAAAAAAGTCTCAAAGAATCCACTGGATGGTGGATCCGCACCAGTTTCAATGGCAAGTCTGTGTGGCCTTCTCATCTCCGGGTTCCAGAATCGTGCTGCCCAGTAGGAATAGTTGATGAATTATTTGGCTATTCTTTAAGCATGTTCCCAGTTGATTTAGATGTTGACCTTTGTGTCTTCTGTTTGGTCCGAACAGGCCTGATGACTACTGAATTGGTATTTTGTGCTTTTGGCACCTTGGGCACATGGAAGTCGTCAAACAGGTTGAGACACTCAACCAAGCAACGCCCAACGCCCCATTGGCCATTTTAACAGGGGGCTTTGCTCACTAATTTTAACCACCTTGGACCTTGGTAGTATCTCGGGGTCGGAGTCACTCTTTTGCGGGGCTTCGATCTCGCTTGCGAATGTGTGGAAGGACCTTGGTAGTGTCACCAAAAAGACGATGGGTTTGGGCGCTCCTTATCTGGGTTTTGGCTTTCCGGCACGAACGTGTAGGCGCCAATACGCTCAGGTTCCCGCGGATCCTGCAGAACATGATCAATGTCTTCTCCGTGCTGATTGGCGTCTTGATTCAATGGGGCAATCGTCCAAAAAGGTTCCCCTTCTGAAACCATGATGACATTGTGTGTGTCTGCCGGTTTTCAGGAGCGGGCCCTAAACAACTAGCTATTTGTGTATACCCTAATTCGGGTCCTGGAATGGCCCATACGCTGAGTGGCCGGTGCTGCCGGGAAACTGGGTCTCAAGAGGGCCCGCACACCTTATTAGATGTTCAAAACAAACATGTTATTTGCATATCTCATTATATAGCTAAGTGTCACGTAGAGCAAGTTGGAAACGACCAGGCTTTTTGACCGCAGGTCTTTCCTGGGAGATCTGCTTTGAGAGTGGCGTCAGTGAGCTTTCAATGGACCGCTGCTGTCGGCCGACCATTGTCGGGAGGATGAAAAGACTATGTATCACTGTTGATGGACGGAGTCCCGCGCCAGTTACTAGGTTGTTCATCTCGTATTGGTAGGGTTTCATCTGTCCTAGGTGTTGCAGGATGTTGTCAGATGTGTTTATGTTCCCTGTTTGTTATCCACTTTAAGGTTTGGTTTATCCACAAAATCTGGCCTTGAGTCTTTGTGTGAGATTTGTGTGTTGAGATTGCCTCCTGGGAAGGAAGCCCATGGGTTGTTGCAGCGTTGTCCCAAACTGTATTGATCAGCCCTGGGCAATGGAAGATGTTCGGCACACGCTGGTGGAGGATATCAAAGTTGTTACCACACCGAGGTTCTTGTTGACAGCAGGATGTAGGTGCTGTTTTGAGCTCGAACAGTTCGATGTTGAACAGGAGTTGAATTGCTGATGATTGTCAATGTTGCGCGGAACCAGCACCATGAATGGCATGCAGGGCAGGAAGCCATTTACATTCCACAAAAAGCATGGCATTGATGCTGTAATTAGTGCTTGCAATTTGCTCGCAAGGGTCTTTGCGCTTTGGACCCCAGCAGAATCTTCATAGCAACACGATGCGTGGGAATGTCCTTTGAATCATGCTGTCATGAATGGAGTGCCTGCAAGTCACGTGAGTTGTTCAAAGCGCTTTTTGCCGCACGTAGTTCTGGCTCTGTCCAAACTTCATCTACTTGATAACTAGGCTTGTGAACCACTGGCCAAGCAGGCTTGTCATGCAAGCGCCCGGGTTTTCCTTGTGGCTGTTGGCTCCTTTTTGTTCGGGCGGCAACGTACGTGCCGCAGGAGACCGCCCACCCCACGCGGATGAAGCTGATCTTCACCATTTGCGACTGCCTGAGTTTTCCAATGGCTAGTTCCCGGCGACAACATGTGGCACGCCCGAATATATACTATATATATACACGTCGTGTGTGTGTGTGTGGGTGTGTTTTTGTTTATCTGTGTTTGTCTTTGTTTGTGTTTTTGTTTGTGTCTCTTTGCGTGTGCCTCCGTGCCAACAAGTTGTCCATACGTACCCTGGTGCATTACCATGATTCACGTGCTTCACCTCGTGCCTGAGGTGCTGTAGGCATTGTGCTGCCGGCTTGGCGGTTGCTGGGGCCCCGGTCTCCGAGTCTCCGGCGGAGCGGCTCCGCGTTTCGCGCAGCCAAAGACCCCGGCATTCAACAGGTCAGGAAACTTTCTTAGGTGAGGGAAGGGTTTTGAGACCTTTCTGGTGGGTAGGTCCCTAATGTATCTCCCCATTACTTGCCAGTGCGAAGCTGACTATGCCGCGCCTTTCGCGGTCTCAATTGGGATTCCTTGTTACTTGCGGTTTCCTGGGTGCCGCGACCTCTACGCTGCGGATTCTCGCACTCGAAACCGTTGCGAGGCCTGGCGGAAAAATAAAGGAGAAAAACAAAGGAACAAGATGCCCATGCAGGTCCTTGGGCCATCCTGAGTCAACTGTGCCCCATTGAAGTCAGCTCAGAGGAAATGGGCTGACCCTTGTGCACGGATCCTTGCCTGGGGTCTTCAACATTATTTTATCATTGTCCAGGGCCAGTCTAGGGCTCACAGGAAGTGAAACAGATTCTGACAGAACAATGAGTATCTGTGTACCACAGATATATTATTGGCATTTATCGCCCAAGGTTTGAAAGCAACAAATGACACCTGAAGACAGGTCTGCCGGCCGCTAGGGTCGGTTCGATCGTTTTGCAGGTGCCACTCCTGCCATATGAAAACGGGGGGTGGCATTGGCGGTTGCTCACCAGCAGTCACCTTCCGTAGCTCCCAGCGCGGGAAAATTCAAATGGCATAGCAGAGTGGCAGTCACCGTGGGGCTGCAGCAATGCAATGATTTTCTTTGGTTTCCCTGACGCCCCACCCCAGTCGTTCTCGACGAAACGGGCCTCGTCTCAAAAACGGTTTCCAGGGGTTCCTCATGGGGCAATTCCCCAAAACCTGAACTGGGATTCTGGTCAGGAAATGTTGAGGCAAAGTCAAGTGAGGTATGTGGTGAAGCGAGTCTACGACCTGAAGTGCAAGGCCATCGAGCGGCTGGAAGCCAAAAAGAAGGCCATGCCTGGGAGAGAGCTTGCTATCTACTCCAATCATTGGACACTGATGATTGGGCGGTTGTGTGTTGTTTTTTGTTGTTCTTTTTTTGGGCGTGAGAGGCCCGCACTCAATTTCGGTTTAGCAAGCATACGCAAGCATATAGGTTCACGCAAACAATGAATCGGGGGAATGCTACGTGTTGACGTGTTATGCCACGCTGTTTTGGCTCAGTAGTTGGAACATGGTTCCTGGTTTGTTGCCCTTTTGGAAGACATCACTCGTTGAAGCTTCATGAAGATATGCAGTGCAACGTGTGGGAGGGATTACACTTGTCCCATCAACATGGAAGACCTCTCCCCCCCCCGTCAGGTTCAATTGCAATCTTGATGGGGAGGGCCTGGGAGCTTGCACGAGCTCACTTGGCAAGTGGTTAATAGCCCTGGGCCCAGTAGGATTCACGGCACTTGACAGGCTTACCACTTGGGGGTTCGCTGCTCAAGAGGGCGATGAAGCCTCGCCAGTTGGAAAGCGGCTTCAACCCCGCTCTTCAGCACGTATTCAACGGATCGGATCACGACCAGGCGCGTCGGTCGAATGGGCGGTGTAATCAATGTGCATGGGGTCATAGGGTGGTTTCCATTAGGCTAAAATGGGGTACTGAATTGAGGATGGCTTCAGCTGGCTGTCTGACCACCTGGCTTTCTGCCTTGCTTCGAGAAGGTTTCCTTCATGAACACAAGTCCATGGGTTTGGGGTGATGCTCTGGGACCAAAGACGCGGCCATTTTGAGAGGAAGCGTTTTGGAAAAGGAAGCCACGAAAGGTTGCTGCCATGTTATGTTTTGCAGACATACGCTGCGCCGTGGCACGCGGCTTTGGGTGAGTTTCCGGGGCAGGCTGCTTCTTTTTTTTTTCAGAGGGCTGGTTGCGTGCTTGCTTGCTTGGTTGCTTGGTTGCTGCTTGCTTGGTTGCTTGGTCGTGCTGACTGGTTGGCTGGGTGGGTGGCGGTTTGGTGCATGTGTGGTTGGTTGGATGGCTGCTCGGCTGGCGGCCAGATTGTTGTTGCTTGGACGTGCTGAGATTGCGCAAACATTCATATTCTGTCGTAGGGCTTGGTCTGCTGCAAGCTACCAAGCCAGCTTTAAAAAAGCAACCCATCAACACACCCAAAGCAACCACCCCACCACTGCAATAATGCCGTTAATCAACTATCAACCGACTCTCAACCTGCCCAAACTGTTTCCCAAATTGACTCACCTTTGTCGGACCGTTTTGGTGATGACCTCTGAAGGAGCGCCAAGAGGACAAACGAAATGCCGAGCGGGTATTGAGACACACCAGTAACATCACAGGACCATCAATTCGTTGATCTCGGACCGTTGGCAGAAGATTTGGCATCCCAAACGGTTCAAAATTGGATCCCTTGACACCTGCCCTTTCTCACGTGAATGGTTACCATGGCTAAATAGACCCCCCCCACCCCGTGACAGCCAGGACTCCCTCATCTCAAGGCAAGATGAGGAACCCAAGCCGCAGCCTGGCAGCAAGCCGCAAGCTTCAAACTTGTCATGTTTGAGTCATTTCTCCCTGCTGGTAAAGCGGAAATGCAAAGGGAACCCACCCGTTTTCAAGGTTTCCTCAACTAGCGCCTGGTCAACTGTCCTGAAAGGTAGCGAAAAGCGCATACGCTTGTTCTAGAACCTCCATTTAGTGCCCAGTAAGCCTCCAGTTGTTACTTGCCCGCGGTTTGAGAGAATTGGTTCATGCAGGGGGACCCCCTTATGACCGGAGTGCAAAACGTCTTGTCCCACGTCGGAAAAGAAATGGATTCCGGCAGGGAGATGGTTCCAACAACTAGTTGTCCAAGAATGTGATCTTTTCATCTCTTTCCGAGGTGGTTAAAAAGCAGGTTTAACCGGATCCTGGTTGTGACAGGTGCCCCTTATTCTGTGTGATCAGTTTGGGTTCCAGGGCTGAAAGCAGCAGAAGCCGAAGGCACGAGAAGTAGAGACCACTGGAAAACTGTCTGTCAACTAATGCAATCCTAGTTTTCTGGCCGACGGAGTGAACGCTATGGACAACGGCCGGTATTTTCCCTTTGGGTGACTTTGACCATCACGTTTGGGCCAATTTTGTGGTCAGTCTCCGTTTGGTGGGGTGATGTTTGCAGGGGAAGCATAGGGAGCCCGATTTTCGGCATGCCGCTTGCTTGGTGGTTAGATTAGTTTGCGGATTGATCCCCTGGTTGTTTGTTTGCTAAAGAGGCCCTTGACCATCAATATGCCGCCACCAATTGGGGGAACATAAGTGGCCCCATCACAAGGTGATTTGCGTTGCCCAGGCACCGCTCCTCGGGGATCTTTGGCTTTTGGTGAGACCTCAGGTGGCGTGTAAAAATTACCCAAGCCGCAAACTGGGCGGAGTTTCTGAAATTCGTCTTTCCTCACCCAAGGCGAGATGTCTTAGATGTACCTGTGTCATTCCCATGCTTGCGCTGAAATTCCGCCTGCACTTTTCACCGGGCTTGTCACCGGACTTTTCGCCTATCGGGCAACAGGTTTGTCAAAGCCGAGCCTCCAGCCCATTTTGGAAGCCAATGCTGGACCTCCGAATTGGGTCGAATGTGGGGCATGCAAGAGCTGTAAGCACTTTTCACTCACTGCAGATCGCTTGGCTACCCCTGGGTGCCTCTCAAGTAAGTTGGCAACTGCCTGCCTTGAATCATGTAAATATTCGTAACAGGAATCCTTCCTACTCTCCTGCAGGTTATCATATGGAACCCGACAAATGTCCAACAGCATTTGGAGTTCCTCTCCCCTCACGTCACTCCCCTCACGTCAAAACTTGCAAGACGTCCTCCAGCATCCGCGGTTGGCAGACAAAACATGCCGACTAAAATGTGGCCTACGGCCAATGCAAAGGGTCAAATGACCCATCAACGCATCCTACGGTGTCAAGGGCCCCAATGATCCCGACCAACCCTCGGTGTGTTGTAGCGCTGTTGGGAATGGCATGGGGCGCTCTTTTCAGGGGGCCCTTGGCACGCAGAATTTGAGCTCTGTTCAGGTTGCCGGCTTGATGTGGCACTGTGGGATAGTGCTGCGGTGCACGCCAAGCTACCAACCTGAACCCAAGCGAGCAACCAGCAGGACGTGCAAAAAGCAAATGTTGAGTAGTACATGGTAGTAATGGACATTGGCGTATTTAGCTGAGCCATTTTTAGGGGACACCCTTTGATTGGGTTAAGGGGAGCCTTTAACAGGAACCCTAGTTTGAGGGCTATCAAGAACAAATAGGTTCACATTTACAGGTCACGGAACTCACAAGCGGGTAGGGGATGCCTCTAACGTCTAACACCATTTGTTTTTAAGGTCCTATTCTTTTGCAGGCCTGTAGAAATATACTCCAGACGAACACTCTAGCAACAGGCTTGCCCAATGGCGAGCGGGTTTGATGCCTTGGTGCCTTGGTGGTTTCAAATTTGGATGCTTGGGACTCACTTCGCACCTGCTTTTGGACTTTGCCTCTTGGGAAGATGACACAGGTGGAGGCACATGGCGATTAGTTTGTTTGAATCCTCTTCGGGGCGAACATGATCCAAACCAACGCGATGCATGGCTTCGAAAGTCCAGTGTTATTCCCACATTCATGACTAAATGGTTGGATTTTGGTCAGGTGACACTGGTGCTTCGCTAGTACTTGCAAGCTGAACTCAGTGATTGGGCTTCATGCGGGGCCATGCTCAACTAAGTGTGCGGGGTGCATCCACCTTCCGATTTCCGCTGCCAGCTGTGGCTCCCGGGCAAGTTTGCACTAATTATCTGGTTCTACAACCGGAGTGTAGCCCTGCAAAGTGGCTATATAATTTGAAAACCCAGGCTGCACAGGATACGTGTTTGCGCGTTTTGCTGTGACGAACATGAAGCGGAACAGCATTGTCAGAAACGCAACAGGCTTGGCCTAGCTGCAGTCACTGCAAATTGTGATCATTCTGACCTGGCTTCAAACTTTTCCGGGAACCAGGGGGGATCACAAGGGAGCGTGCACACGCTATGCCCAGCGCAGCCTGTCCTGCCTAGGGCTCAGTGGGAGGTGGAGTGGGACTGGGCTGCAGGACTGCCATCCCGTTGATGGCAACAACCAGTTGTACATGTGGAGCTTCCTTGCCACTTCGGTCGTAGCTTCGGAAAATTTATCCCATTGCTCCATCCTCCTTACCTTTCCCCGAATCTTGAGGTGGTCACAAGGGCACATTGGGATCGTCATTGTACAAGGATAGGCTCTGCGGGAGGTTTGGTATGTAAAACCGCCATGTTGAATAATTACCGTTTTGCTGGTTTGGTCTGGGTTCAATGATTTGTTAGGCATGTTGTTTGGTCAGTGTTGCATTTTCTAGGCATAGCCCGTGGCTGGAGCCATGTGTTCTTCTAAGTCTGGTGTATTCAGGTTGTTTCATAGCCGCGCCCGCTGAACGACCGTTGCTGGGTCGGGGTCCATCAATCGTCCATCAGATTCCCTCGAGTCCAATGGCTTTGTGCCTTGGCGAGGTTTTCAACTTGCGCCCTTCCCTGGACGCCGCAATATCCATTTTTGGCAAGCTGTTGCCAATCCATGCTGAATGCAACGGGGCCTCGTTGGCACAGTTGACAACCTGGCAGTGTCGATTCCACTGCTGGGGTGTTCAGAGAGGAGCGTGTTTTGCTGGGGCCTTAGAATTTGGAAGAAGATGCAACGGCCTACTTTCACAAGGCAAAGGCTACGCAGGCCAACTTTTGTCAAAAGAAAACACGTGAACAAGAGTTGACGCTTTGGACAGCAAGCTTGAAGTTCTGCATCTCAGCTTAAGAAACAACAAGAGCACACACACACACACACACTGTTGCCAACGATGCTGGCCCAGTTTGGTCCCGCTGACGCCTCACAGGCCCGAGTTTGGATCTTCTCGTAACCCAACTAATCGCTCCCTGTCAATAAGTGTTGGCTGGCCAAACGATGCTGATTAACAGGGAAACTAGGGTCAGGTGAATACCGGCTGACCAAACCCAAACAAAAGCAAAGTGCTTTTCCCTTTCAAAGTTTGTACTACACTACACCCCGTTTCAAGAAAGAAAGACCGACAGCCAGTGAAGTGTGCCCCTCTGGGACCTTCTACAGGGAGCTTGGGTCCTGGACTACCCGCGAATACGACTGGGGCCGGGTTTGGCAAGCGCTCAGCCGGTTTATTGCTTTGGAATTGAACTACTCTAGGGGCTGCAACAATCCGGCGCCCATTTTCGTCGGCTTTGTGTGCTCGCCGCATGCGAGGCTGCACCTGCTCAGGCGTGCCTGGGTGGGTGGAAATTGCAGACCAGCGGCTTTGGAGGTGTTTCCTCCGGGGCCCCACTTTGGGTTAAGCTCATGAGAGACTTTGCAGGACAGGGAGGTTCTGGTCAAGGAACCCACCATAAAAATGGTCCAACGGGGAGCTTTTCGTGTTACTCGGCCAGGGCATGCAGTGGAACTCTTCGGCGTTGCCTCTGGCGGCGCAAGCGGCACAGGCCAGGTGTCAGAACTTTTGGGAACGGTGCCACAATAGTACACACATGTGCATATAAATATATAACACCGGTGTTTATGTATATATATATATAATATATACATATTTGTATGTGGTATCCCCCCAAAACCAAAAAACAGAAAGAAAAGAAAACACGCCCCGACAAAATTGGTGATTTCCAGCCGCCGCTTTCAGGTACCCCGCCAACTTTTGAGCATTTCACCGTGCTTGTGACTATATCCGGCCAGAAAAGCTTCAAAGCGCTGGACCTAAGATGAACGATTCAAAGTTCCCGCATCCAGTATGGGGCGCCAAAAACGCGTTGTAGCTCTTTCATCCAGGTAGCTCGTGGATTCAAGATTGCACCCTTGGAATCTTGAATCTTTAGTCTTTGCTCCAAAAGTGCTTTAAAATGCTTTGAAGCATCTGCTTTCAGTCGTTCCTCTATGGGAGTGCACCTGATTGACGTTTTGGACTTGCGCGCGGTAAATACGGTTGATAGTTCACCAGACATTCCTGGAGGGCACGGCAGGGGAGGTTGGTTTTTCCTTCAACTGGGAGTGAAATGGTTCATCTGCTTTACTCTTCCCGAAAACGCTCATCGTTTCCTTTCTTTGCCGAACCTTTGTTCAGATTGCCCCCAATGAGCTGTTTGGACTGGCGGTTTGTAGAACCCGTGTCCTTCCTGCGGGTAAGTGGGACACTAACCTCCCACCCTATTTGGAGGAGGCTGACCTATTCAGCGCCCATGACATTGTCTTTGGGGGGTTCCCGCCCCTCAGGAAACTGCATGCCGTGTTTTTTGTTGTTCTCCCTTTCGCGCGAGGCAGCGCAGATGCATGGCGCAGCGGCTGCTCAAGCAGCCGGGGGCACTTGAAGATGCGTGATGCGTGAGCAACGAGCTTTGCGGCCTTTCCAAAAGGAGTACTGTGTTCCAAGCTCTCCTGTCAGTTGTATGACTTTAGGGAGGGCAATGGCCAGCTTGCCTTATGAAGGTCCTGGTCCCTTGCGCAGCTTTACTTGAGGATTCCTGCAAGGCATCAAACGCCTTCACCTTTTGCTTTGTTTTGCCATGGCTTTCCATCACTTTGTCGCGGAACAGTCACATTCGGATGGCCTCCGCAGCTGTTCCCCCGGGGCCACTTGTGACTCACAAGCCCTGCCTTGCAGACCATTCCGTCGATCAAACATCTATCCACTGGCTGGGCGGAAAGCCACAAACAGGAATCACTGCATGGATCTGGATGGGAGTTGTTGGGATACACTTTCTAACAAAAATGGGGGGGGGGCAGCGGGCACAAACCACCAAGATTCAATCATTCCCTGTTTCGCTGATGGACTGGTTGAAGGGTGTTGGACCTTTGTGGGTCCTGAGCGCCTTTCAAAACCATGATTTTCAACAGGGCTCCACAACGGTGCCATTTATCTAAGGCCCTTTGCAACATGTCTGGGTTCTGAAAATAGCGGGGCAAAAAAGGGCCAGGATGTCCTGTTCGTTTGCATACAGCACCCAAAAAGGGTCTTTTCAAAGAAACATCCATGGGCAAGGGGAGTCCACTCTTATAGGCACACGCTGCTTCACTGACCGAGTGAAGAGGCCGGAGCCGGTTCGGTTCAAAGCCTGAGGACCAGCACCGGTTTCGGCACATCCCTAGCCGCCTCGCCGGCTGGCCACTTCCAAAAAGCGGTTGTTTTGACACATGCCCTTCCATGTGTTGTTCCTGATCCTTTTTATGCTGACTAGCCCAACATCGTTCATAATCCTAACGGACCACAAAAGGATGTGTGTTTCGTTCTAGGCCCTCCGCTTCTTGGCTTGGCAAGCATATTTGCTCTAGACTTTAAACATCCTCAGAGTGCCGCTTCAGTTCCTGCAACACCACTCAAGCCAGCCACACGGAGCACAAAGAAGCAGAAGAAGCATTCCACCAATATAGCCGTGAGAGAGCATTTAGAAGATCTATTTCCTCTTGAAGGGATACATTAGCACAGGCACCACTCGTTGCAAGGCATCAGTTCAGGATCAGTTCAGATCTCGCCCGAGCAGGGGGCGCTCATGCTGGCGCTGCTGCTGGCAGCTGTCTTGGCTTTAGCAGGTTGCCGCTACCTGGCCACAGTGCCTTGGAAGATACGAGCTCCGCGATCCAGGTGGTAAAACGGGCGATTCTTTGAAGGGCCCCATGGTACAAGCCCTTTCTTTGGGCATTTCCTGATTTCCCCGGTTCCGGAATCAGAGTGATGTGTATGACAGGTCTGATCGTGCCACCTTTGCGGAATGTCAGGAGATGGCTCCTACACATTCTGGCCATAGGGGCTGCCGTAGACCTACGAGGAAACACAGCACCTATCCGATGGGTTTTCCAATTTGGGCAAAGGTATATCTACATTATATATAATAAAAATATATATGTTTACAGGTAAGGCGCTTTCTAGGGTGCAAGTGGATGACGCAACTCCCTGCGCCATCTACTTGCACCCAAGCGGAATTAGAACAAGGAGCTCCAAAAACATGTGCTGAGTAGGCGGCTCGGACCTGCCTGAGCAAGGCTGCGGATCGAAATGGATCTGGGCGCAACTGGACATATCTGGACATGCTTTTGGGATCTTTTGGACCACACACATTTTCATGCAACCTGCCATGACCATAACTTTCTTTGGGAGGCTCAGTTGGGTGTTTTTCTGCTCTGGCACATGTCCCTCAGCTTTTCTTAAGGAGCCCTCAAGGTTAGGCGTTCAAGTGGGTGGAGTGGGCAAGGCGCTTGGGGTCAGACATTCCACGTGCTTGTGACGGACGCTTTCTATTTCTGAGGGTGCTTCACCCATTTTCGGGGACGGCACAAAATCGGCCGGCGAAGCATCACTCAAGAGGCAGCAAGTTGTTGAACACAGTGGCCAGTCGTTTCTTCTTTGAGCAACTTTTTTGTTCAACTACTGCTTTGATTCTTGAAAGTTCGATGCAGAAGTGCACGCAGGACGCGTTGTACCGACCTTCGCTCAAACCAACTGGAGATTCTGTGTAATGTTGCTGGGCAAAGCCTCAAAAGCAATGAGGATGCCAGTGAGAACTAGAGCAACGTCCTGGAATACTCCTTGGGAGCCTCTTGAAACATACATTACTTCATCACGCGCGAGGAAGAAGATCCTGCTCATGTCAAGCACTTCATGCATGTGCAACGATTGCGTGTCAATATGGAAGTTGACGCTTTCTTGCACCGTTTTACCACGGCGTCAACCTACATGCTGACCCCCACCCCCTACTTAAGGCATAGGGACAGGGTGCACATCCATTTTCAAGGGCTCCATATTATAGAATGTCCATAGGTTTCCCTTGGTTTCGAGACCGAATATACACAAACCACTCGCCTCATGTGTTGCTTCTCACCTCTTTGAGGCCCTGGCCCTCTGGGGCGGCTTCTGCCTCCTGCGCTGGTGGCGAGAGCTTGCCATCTTCGTGGCCGGGGCCTTGGGGCCTCCGATGGCGTGGCCAACCGAGAAAGCCAACCGGAGGTTGGACTCTTTCCGGGCTGCCCGTGCACAGCATTTTTTGGACATGGGTACATCCCTGGCTGACCAACAGGATGTCCATTTCAGAAGAAATATTTTTTTTCTCGAGGGAAACACCCGGCAACCAATGACAAGTGCGTCACGCGTGGACCTTCGCATGTTCGGCTGAGGATGGAGTCCAGATCTATGGCAAGGCCAAGAGGGCAGCCAAGGAGTCTGTGTGCACAATCCTTTGTTTCTCCCGACCATGGGACAAAAGCGACCTGTCCACTGAAACAGGAACCCCGCCCCCACATAGATCACCTTCCCTTTGATTTATTTGGAGGGGTTGCCACTGAAGTTGTCCTCACCAGTATGCCCAGTTGGAGAAGTCAGCAGCGGAGGCCAAGGGCGCGCAGGTCACAAGGTGTGGGTCCCCCACCCCCCTGGAGGACCCGCTCTCCCCGAGGCCTCGAAAAGGCGTGATGGCCTAGCGGGTTGGCTGGGCCGGGCTTGCAATGTGAAGGCCTCTGCGCAAGTAATATGAAATCATAACGTCACTAGGAGGGTTTGCAGCGTTCCATGATGAAGGTTTCTTTCATAGCAGCCTTTATGTTCGGTTGGTGAATTATCACAACATGCCCACATGGCCTTTCCAGTTTCAGGATGAGCTGTTTGGCGGTCAAGAGCTGAGGAGTGCATTTGTTAGTACCCAAAAAGACTTAAAACTCGGGTTCCCTCTTTGCGGGCTTGTGATAGGGCATATTCGCAAACTTTGACGCTCCAGACTCTCGTCAAGCTGTCCGAGCTGTTGATTTGGTGTAGAAAAGTGATTAACTTGGATGAGCCAATCACTGAGTTTGATGATGCCGCGCGGGTGATTGAATTTGAGCAGGTGTCTTCCAATACATTATGCTTTGGGTGTTTCTCCGCGCTTGTCTTCTGCTGGCGTTTGTCAGTCTAGAAGCTGCACGGCAGCGCTGATGCGTGTATTTGCGTACCCGCATGTGAGCAAGCTATCTTGAGAGCAACGACTAAGCAGCTCTTGAATTGTCTTCAGGCAGGCAGGAAGTGATTCTGGCCTTCCAAATGGGTTTCCGTTTGGGTGGACTGCAACCCGTGGGTGCTCTTGGCCGGCACGTGCCACTTGTCCATAGGCCGCGAGAGGGACCCCGAGGGCTTTTGCACGCCCAAGTCGGAGAAGGAGCAGGACGGTAGCCTCCCAAGCCCGCAAGCCCAGTGGCCCAAGCGCAGTGCTAGACTTGCCACTTTGGTATGCCTTTATTGTCACTTTCAACGAGCAACCGCTAGTTTTGCAGGTTGTCCGAGTCTGGCCCAGAGCAGTGTGCGACACTTGTCCGTTGTTCAACTGCCAAGCTTGACCAAAACGTGTAGAGCCAGCGACTCAGGCATGGTGGCTTCTAGTTCAGCAACCTCATTTCAGAACACTATTCTAGAATACCAATACTATGTCAGTTCTCCAGGTACGGCAAGGCTCAGATTCTAACGAAATTCCACAGTCTGCAGTTGTTCAGTGGCACCCCTTTCCCCTTTTTGTTTGGTGTAATCCCACAAGGTGTTTCGCTTTTCCACCAGGTCACTGAAAGTGTCGCTACACGTCGGCCTTTTCTGCCAGGAATTCGAGGAGTGGGCGCCCTTCTGGCCCTCCCTCCCACTGGGCCCGGAGCTTCCAGGCAAGCCTTCCATCGGAGACGCCGGTGTTGACCGACACAACATGTAACACTGCCCACTTCTCGACCCTGGCCAGCTTGGGTGCGATTGGTCACCATGCATGCCGTTGCATGTAGCTCAAACCAACTTGGACATCTTGAATTGTTTGCACACGTTTCTCTGGATGCTCCGTTCACAGGCCCCGAGACTTTGCAGCTGCCTTCTGAGGCGGAGGTGGGGCGCTCAAAACAGGTGTCTCATGTGTCTCCATGTTTCCTGTTTCGGTGGTTTTAAGCCTTTGCGGCACTCCCAGGTGAGTTTCCTTGTGCACATGTGTTCAGGGGATTTACGGGGAACCCTGGAAAATCAATCCTCAATTCGCATGCCAGATAGTAACAGTGTCCTTTCTTCTATCGGTGTCCCTTCTTGAGAGCGAATACTGTTTTGAGTAGCCCATCTTGGGCGGTAGGTTCTGGGAAGGCCAGCAAGGGGGTGGAACAAGCGGGGGGAATTAAATTCTGTAGTGTTAACAATTGTTCAATTGGGAGTTCTACTCCTGGCGCGGTGAAGAACGGAAGTCAGGCCTGTGCAAACCTGCATAGGACGTTTGGTCGAACCAAACGTCCTTGTATGTTTTGCCACTGCTTATTGAGAAAAGTCCGCGGTGCTGAATCTTGTGCAGGTGGTGGGCCCTTATTTGGCATGCAG